ACAATATTTCCCCCCCCCCCCCCCAGGAAGTTAACTTTGTAACAGCTGAGACAACCCACCAACCATCAACAGTTAAGGAGACATTGTTTTAACTTGTTTTTAGCAGGACTTGAATGATAGCTTGTTACTCCGTTTTCATATATATGTCTAGCAGTTGCAAAAGATTGTTTTGGCAAGGATGCACTAAGATATCATTTATAGATCTAACACTAAGAGTTAATTATTTTTCTATTTTCCAGTCCATGTAGTCTTGTTTACTTACTGTATGTAGTATGGATGCACTTTGTTCAGAATCCTTCACTTGACTTTCACCATTAGCCAGCTGACTGAGACTTTGATAGAGCTTCTGGCTTTGTTCATCAGTTACTTGAACTGGTACATACTCTGCAAGTTTCCGCACGCAATTACAGCAGTGTTCCAGCATCTGTTCTTTTGAATCTCCACCAAACTGAATACGGAACATACGGCATTCATTCTGTTCCAAAGCAAAGAGAAATTAATTTAACTCTACAGCCCCTCAAACAATTTTGATTTAATTAAATTCATATTCATTATCATTAGGAAGAAGGTGATAGTTCTTAGATCATTGCAACAACTTAAATACAAAGAAACCTGTTCTCCCTGCTGTATCTTCATTTATCCCCAGCAGCTAAACTAGAAGAGTATTTGATTTCCAGTTTGAAAGTAAGTAAAAACCAAGGAAATGGTAAGCAAGCAGGATCACTTGTCAGCTAAGCAAAAGTTTAGCCACATGGACAAAACTTGCCATGACAAGAGGGTTGGCTGGTTTGTTTGTTTGTTTTTAAACATGAATATTGCAGGGAAAACAAGTTCTTATTGCTCTAAGTAGTATTCTAAAATGAGAAGCCTACTCCGATCAGCTGTTGATAATTTAAAAAAAGAAAAGAAAAAAAAAGAAATGGCACTGAAGGAAGCAAAGTTACTAACTTTGGAACCTAAGCTAAAAGTTAAGAAAACTCTGCTTTCCATTTAGGATTTATGTTACTGTCTACATCAAACCCAGCCTTACCAACCCAATTTGCTTGTGCATAGCTAAATATACAAACGCAATCTAGAACTCCAACTGAATGAAGCTGTTACTTTAATAGAAGCCAACATAGGCCATTAAGTGTGCCAGAAACTGAAATGATTTAGGTAAGACATACTATGCAAATGAAAAACTATTCTCTAACCTTTCCTTGAAAACAGCCCTTGGAAATGTTCATACCAATAATCAGCCAGAAGTCTACTGCTCCAAGAGCGGTGCTGTCAGGCTAGATTAAGACAGTTGTCCTTAATCATGAAATATGGCAGATTCTATGTACACCAGTAACATAGGCTCGTGGAGAGCATCTCTTCATTATTTAGTAAAATAGAAAATTCCTTCAAGTAATGAAATAATATTAAAAACTAAAGAAAAATACTGGAAAGAATTAACCTCCAATGCAGGTTGTCATGCTGTATAATAACAATAGAAATTTCTTCAGTTCAAGCAAACTGCACTGAAAATGGAGGGCTGAAAAGCCTTGTAGTGCATGATAAGCTTGTCCTTAAGCACATTCACATGACATAAGGCAGATACAAACTGAACATTCTTGTTTAAAGAATGAATTCCTGGGACTTTCAGGTTGATCTTGAAATTTCAAATGTGAAATAGCGTTAAAGTACCAGAAAAGGAGCAAATTTTACTTGGATTGACCTAGCTTATTTGACCCTTTCTGAGACTTCAAAGCCAGTTTTTTTAAATGGCTAGACACAGCCTGCTGATTTACTTGATAAAAGGCCATATTTCACTTTCAAGATTTTTGTCTCAAAGATGAACTAGCTCTTCATGGCACAGTCTGTTTACATGCATGTAATTTTAAGACATACCTATGTGACTTTTAGGCACTACATGCCTAAATATATAATGCAATTTTAGGGCACTTTAAGCATAAAAGCTTGTTCTAATGCCTTTTAAATGGAAAAACGTCAGTCCTCCTTTTACTAATGCCCTGTTAACTTTTCCTCTAATTGGCTAAGATGTTCTGGCAAGTGGGTCAACTTCACATAACGGAAAGCTGATTTGGGGATACGCCGAACAGGTAAGTTCTCATTAAAATGAGAGGAAAAGTAACTTGCACCTTCGTTTGAACTCGTTCTGGAGACCTTCAGAATGACATCTATTTTACTTACTCCTAAAAATCCCCAAATCCATTTGCAGTCTGAGCTAGTTGTATTGCTCTCTACTTTTTTGTAAGTACTGTGAAATGTTTAAGATTACAGTTTGTAAACAATAAGTTTGATTTATAAAACTTTTTCCCTTTTTAAAAAGAGGTAGTAATAATTAAGACAAGACATGCATCAAGTTTTAGCATTAACTGCAAGTACTGGGCTACACAAGAGCCAAAGTATTACTGAGCTTTGAGATCACTTGGATCATATAATTTGCATGTTTTCCCACTCTGGGGGGTGGGCTCAATGAAAACAGTATGAAGAGAAATAGCTTAATACAAGATTATTATAAGTTATTGTCTTGGTACCGTTTGCAATTTTTATATTAAAAAAACCTGTTCATATTAATAGACTTAGTCAAAGACTAACAGAACGTCACTGATTACCAGCGACAGATGGATACAAAGGGCAGTCATAGCCATGGAGCCTTTTGTTTCAGATAAACAAGACATATATAGCTCTGACAGATATAGCTTCAGAATTACATAGCCATACATGTATGCTTCACTGAATAAATTAACTTCTGATAGTACATCTCACTTTCAATAGTATACCTGTGAAAGGTATCTACTCTACATGTCTTCCTCTCTTAAATACAAGTTTCTCAAAATACAGTTTAGAAATTCATTCTGCTACCTATGAGTCCATAAAGCCCTGTCAAAAGAATATTTCATAAGAAATGTTTCGCTAAAAATGAAATACTAATGACTTATGAAAACCAATCTGTTAGTGTTCACACTGTTTTTTCAAATGTACGTTATCCCAGTGATTAACCTCCATGTTTCTTCTTTGACATGGGTTACTCAAACTCTCAACAGCTGCAAAGCAGGTAACAAGGAACAAAAGAAAACAAGAACAGAAAAGCAGTAATAACTGAAGCCAGTGAAATAATGACAACAGAATGAGAACACAGAGCAAAAAGGTAAAACAGAAGTGATAGCTAGTAAAATATTTAGTTGCATGTGCCCCATAGTTTCTATATATGAGTACAGAAGGCAACTATGTTTTGAAAAGGTAACTCACTTTCCTCTGCTTAAATGGCTTCTACTTCCTTCTGCTTGACTCTTTCCTTTATAGTACCTTTTGTACTTATATCTACCATAAGATGAAACATGCTCCCTACATGCTGTGGCTGGCTTCCGGAAGTGTTCTTAACTATATATACACTCACAGTTTCAGGGATTGCTCCAGCTACCATTTAGGATATAAAGTAGAGAAACTGTATGATAGGACCATTGTAATACCACTAAATGCAGTTTAGTTGTGAGGATTTATGGTAAGCAAGCATATTTGGATGCATTGAATTCATTTAAGAATGTAAAATGTCCCTTAGAGCGTTGTTCAAGCCTTAAAATGCTTGTGATGTTGATTTTATGTTTCTTCTGAGATGCAGCGCAGTCCCTTAACACTGTGGTGGGGAACTGCGTCTATTAACTGTAAAGGAAACTGATCTACTGATTCATCTAAACTAATTACTGCAGCAGCTCCATAGTCTTCTCCAGTGATGCTCCAGATTTTTATACAATCTGACAAAAATCAGAGAGTGAAGGTATTTTGCTTTCAGGCTACCAGAACCCATGAAATTTAAAATAGGTTGAGATACTTTTGCATTTCCTAGTGCCACTAGCCTAGTGCCTAGGCTAGGCTTATTCTCAAATGAGATGATGACTTTTTATTTGAACAATATTTACTATGCCTCACATCGGTTCATATTTTGCAATTAGCAAGACATTCCTCTCTGCAAACTATAGTGTTTTGTTCATAACATCTTTTATAAGAGATGTAAAACTGTATAATCAGCCAGATAAGGGATCCCAATGCAAGTAAACAGGCACTGGTGCAGTTTTCAGCTACCCTTGGTGTTGCGATTATCTATGATCATAATAACCCAGTCTGTACCTCCCACAAGAGTTCCTGGCAGGGAGAATGCTAAAACAACTTAGAATACTTGGGATATTTTTATGCCTTAATAGTCCTGTGAACTACGGCAGGAGCTAAAACCAGTTTCTCATAGCTACTGAACAAGAGACTTATAATCTCCCTCCAGAATTCCCATTTCTAACCTAGAGATGAATTCTCTTGTCAAGTACAAATAGTTGAAATGAAGGCAGCTGTTCTGCTGAAACAACAAAACCTAGAAAGCATCAGGGGAGCAGGGAGAGCTTTTCTCATTTTGAAAATCTTTTTTTCTGAATAACCTGACAAGTGCTCAGCATAGCTTCTGAAAGTTCATTTAAGAACTAGTAAAACTGAGATTTTATACATAAGCTGGTAACAAGCAAGTGCCATTTAATTATTTAAAGGCTAACCAACCACTTTTCATGAGATCTGAGGGGAAGACCAGAAGTCCCAGGCTCTTTCATGAGCTTCAATACCAAATGCCTGAATCACTAACAGAGCACTACTGTGCCAGGCCCCAGGGGCCAGAAAATGACCAATTGTTTGTTTTTAGATATTCAGTTGCCAAAGTAAGGTGCCAAAATGAAAACATCGGTTCTCTGAGATGTAACCCTCATGGCAAGCTTAAAAAAAAATGGGAATACATACAAAACAAACCTGTCTTTCACACATTCTCAAGCAAAGAAATGTTGAAATTTAATCACCAGGGTGGGTGATGTTATATATGCAGTTCAGTGTGTTCAAGCACCCCGTGTTACACAAGCCTCCTAGGTCTACTGAAATGATTGATAAGCAGCATTTAAGAACGTAAGACGCAGGTAAGAATCTCTTGATCTTTTTGATGGTTAGCAGTGTGGTTGTCACCATGCAGGCCCATTTTCAGGTTTTATACATTCAGACCAGCAAATTCTACATAAATATCGGTCTAGCTATTTTAGTAGTTGACTCTCAGAAAGTAGTCCAAAAGATGCAAATAGTAGGAGCTGCAAAAGACATTAAGATAACTCAGTCCACTTTTGTTCTTATCTAGAGTTAAAAAAAATCACTTACTTTATATGGACAATTTGCAATAAATATCTCAGCATTTCTGGTTTAATTTGTTCAGTATTAAATAACCCTATATAGAACTGTGCTGGCTATTAGAAATATCAGAAGCAACTGTACCAACCTTTGACTCTGCCCCAAACAGCAGGCAGTCTGCTCTTCTTACTATCTTCAACCACTTACGGGAATCAATTAATGAAAAGCCTTCCTGAAATTAAGCAGAACATAAAGTACTTGAACAGTGAATAGGCCACACTCAGAAGTACGCGCTCAAGTTATCTAACATAATTTCATCCCTCATAAAGCTTATTTACGTCTACATGCGTCTTACATATCCTGTGGGTCTTATTCTGCTGTATTAATCGTAAACATAACAAGACTTCCCTATGCCCTCCCACCACACAGCCCAAGGAGCCTCCTGGGGCCACCAGTGAAGTGAGAGGCATGTGTCGCTGTGAATTCCATACTACGATGATATGGCTTCCTTTCCTAGGGAGCCAGCCAACAATATTTATCGCATCCTTGTAAAGAGATGGTACTTAAGATTTCAGAAATAGCCATCAACTACAAACTTTAAAATATTTTTTCATTAAACCTGAAAAATTTGCTATCTGTAAACCTAATGGAGAATTACATGGAAAGCATGCAATTGCCAATACTTAATTTTTACCATACTATGAAGTTAAGTTAGAATCTGTAGCTCTAGTGACAACACTATGTCAGGGTACATCTTAATCTGCTTATATATTTCAGAGTGTATATATTATGAAAGTCTCCTTGACATGCATGACAAAACAGCTGCAACAGAGAGCTTTAAATTCTCCTTCCACATCCCATGAAGTTGCTTAAGAGGGCAGCAGAGGGCAGGCAAACCTGGAGAATGGGACAGCAGCTGGCTTATCTAAGACCCAGACAGGCGTTTTCTCCAGATGGAGTTCAGGTAAACAAGCCACAGCTTTTATAACTTGATAAAGCTGTTTTTATACTTCAGTTGTGTTAACTGTTAGTCTCTTCAAACAAGACAGGCAGCTTAGCATTCTGTAAAAATATCCCAGGAAGCTGAAAACATCATAAAAACACTGCAAGGCAATGGACTGTGCAATTCCCAAGGTATTCCACAGAGTGCCACATAGTCATCATTTGACAAAGTCAGGGAGAGGGGGGATTAAGGGCAGGAAGGAAATTACTTGCCCGTTTTATTTCTGTTTTATCTGAACTAATAATGGCTTTCAATTGCTGTAACTTTTCACATAGGCTAGCCCTGGCTGCTTTCAGTATCCTAAGGGTCAAAAAAAATTCAAGCCATACCCATCCTGAATGACCAGCAGTATATTTTTGCCAGTCAATATCCATCTTATGCAGGTCCAGGCTGGGAAGCCATCTGCCATTCTGTTTTGGTACAAGAAGTCACTGCAGTAAGACGCTACCCTTTTAAGGTGCTGACACTGGCTCTACAGCCTCACACAGCAGTTGCATGTGGACCTTAATGGAACTGAGCTTCTTTGAGAGGGATGCCTAAGAAACATTGAAGGGTGGAACTGAAGACAAACTGGTTCAAGGACTCATTGCTGAGCAGATGTTTGCTATTATAGACTCTGGAATGGTAAGACAGCATGCAAGTTGATACTTGCATGCTGCCCCAAAAGATTTAAGGTCAGAGGGAGAAAATTTCCCTCTGCACTGTTTTTGGAAAGGCCCTGATAGCAGGTAAAACAGGGCAGTCACTTGACAGCATGTCTGCTTGCACTGCATCCACTCGAAATGCTGCAAGGTAGGAGGAATTGCTAAGGTGTGAAAGGCCTCAAGGTCAAAAGAACCCCTGGCTTTGGGGTATGCACTGTTAGGTCTCTGATAGGCCTGCTGTAATCAGAGAAGAAGTAGGTATGCAGACATGTAAGTCATCTGCTACCTTACGTTTCAGAAGGAGAACAGAGAAGTTGGTTGCCTTGGCTTCCTAGTAATTGCCAGATGCCATGTTATACTTAACTTGGGAGCTTGTGCCTTGTCTGAGGCTTGAACAACCTTCAGGTGTTTCAACCTTGGGTGTGCAGCCCTCACCAAGGCAACAAAGACAAGGATCACAGATAATTCCCCAGTAATCTCAATAAGACCAAGCTTACAAAAAAAAAAAAAAAAAAAACACCGAA